CTCTCTCTCTCTCTCTCTCTCTCTCTCTCTCTCTCTCTCTGCAGCATTCCTTCCTTAAGGGTATAGAGTAGGGCCTCTTCTAGAACAAGGGTCTTATGATCTCCTATCAGGCAAGTTAGCTCAGAGAATTTCTTTATCATCAGCTCTTATACAGAAAAAGCAGGAAAAGATTAGATTAGAGTACTATCTCTAGTTTCAATGACCCTCCCTGGGGAAGAGGAATTCTGGTTTCTAAGAATTGCTTCAGGGGCAGGTGGGGAGAAAACAGCTGGGAGTCAGCAGGGCAGAAGGTCAGAAACTTTGCTTCTGAGGCTATTTTTGAGGAATTTCAATCTCCTTTAGTTAAAAGGACTTAGCATGCCAAGGCCATACTTTGGGGGTGTCGTTTTCTGAGTTCCAATGAGTCTTTCCCCATGGGTTTTGTACTCCTGTTGAAAACCAATTTCTGTAGATACATGAATTCCTTCCTGAGCTTCCAGTTCTATTCCATTAATCTATATGTTTATCCCCATGCCAATACTGCACTGCCTGGATCACTGTGACTGGTAATAAGTTTTGAAATTGGGAAGTGGGTCTTCCAATTTGTTCTTTTTATTCAAGATTGTTTTGGCTATTCTGGATCCTTTGATTTCCATTCAAACTTTAGGATCGGCATGTCAGGTTCTACAGAGAACCAACTGGTATTCAGACACAGATTGCACTGAATCTACAGTCAATTTGGAGAGGAATACTATTTTAACAATATTAAATCTTTCCATTCATAAACAAGAGATGTCTAATTTCTTTCAGCAATGTTTTGTAGCTTTCAGAGTTTATTTCTTCTTTTGTTAAATTTAACAATGCATACATTTTTAGTATAAGTATTCCTCATGCATACTTATTCCAAAGTATGTGACATACTTGTACTAAAAACCGACTATTCCCTGTTTATCTGAAATTCAAAATTTAAGCGGGCACACTGCCTTTTATCTAGTCACTCTAACTCAAAAATGACCGAAGAAAAGAAGAAAGCATGTGAGCACAGAGCTGCGAAGGGCATCTGAGCACCCAGGGACTGGAAGAGAAACAAAGACAATTGGAACTATATGAAAGCAAATATTTAGCTCATAGGAGGTAATAACAGTTAGATTGCAGTAAGCTATTTTGTTCCTAGAAGTTGTTCTACTTTAAACTTTACTCTGAAATATCATGTTGCTTTGAAGAAAAAAGTAAACATTTTGAAAATGAGTGCCATTCATCTAAGCTTCCAAAAAAAAAAAAAGAATATTTTGGTATTAAGGTCCAAGATGGTAAAGCCTGTGTTATAATGGTATTGTCATCATTCTTCTATGGAT